GATATGCGTGTTATGGTTACGGGAGGATAATCAGCTACCGGATACTTGTTTTAGCGGGCTCTCGCGCTGGAAATTAGACGAGAATGCGGGAGGAAAAAATCGCCATGTTGTATAAACAGATCGTTATCATTCTGCGCGCGGTAATGCGCGGGAGCGACGGCCGGCCGGGAAGCGTCGCGCTCCGATGGCCGCGAAGTTCGAGGAACTGCGAAAGAAGAGCGACAAAAGAGGAAGAGCGAAAGTTTAAGCGCGGCTAAAACGATACGTTTCGTAAACGACGACGTTGCTTCTTTCCTCTGCGCCGCGGCGCTGGCCATTAGAGCGCTTTATGGAGCGACTGCGCGTCCGATTTGCGAGTGGCACGGAGCTTGATATCCGCGAGGGAACAAAGCAGTTGCATAAGCAGCGCTAAAGTGGAATAAACGGACGATACTTGGAAACGCGCATCGATATAACTGATGGCGTTAATCTACGGTGGCGAGATTTACAGGGATGCGTTTTAGCGTTGAGCGCGTCGGCGTGAAGATGAAGGCTGACTCTGCAGCCGGAGGATGAATTTCCGATGCGTATTTCACGTTGCGCTCGTGAGCGACGCGTGATCGTTCGAGAAATTAATTCCGCAGACAAGGCGTTTCATAGTTGCTCGAGCCGCAGCAACGGCTCGTTCCTCTCACTCGGACAGCTCTTGCTCGACCCGAGGACATTTTTCCTCGATTAATCGCTAAATTGACGTCAACCGGACGGCGCGGAGAACGCGACGAGTCCAATTATCATTGTCAGAGGTAACGCGCGGGGTTACCCCGTCCGCCGCCGCCGCCGCCGCCGCCGCCGCCGCGAGCGCATCACACTCTCGCAAATTGCCGGCGGACATTTTTACGCGGTGCCCGCCGGCTAAACGCGTCTTAATGGGATGATTTTCCAGTCAGCTTTTCGCGATGCGACGGCGACGCGACGGAGAGACGCGCCCGCTCGTTAAGCGGCCGTGCGTGCGTGAAGTCGAAAAATCGGTAGGCCGTGCCTTCTTCTCGCGCGAAGTGAGAAAAGAGAGAAAAGACGGCCGGCGGAGCACGATGATAGCGCCGCGGCAGGCGGGGTGAAGCGCGGGGTGTTTTCGCCGCTGCGAGATTGAAATTAAAATCGATTAGCCTCGGGCGAATAATCGTTAATCCGTCAAGTTCTTTCCGTCGCGCGAGAGCGCGAGAGGGAAGCTGCCGCCACGTCGTCGGCGGTATCCAATTAAATGGCCGTCGTGACGCGCGATCGGGATCGATGAAAAATCTTATCGGAAGATGCGTTTGCGGGCGCCAGCGCGAGTGCGCGAGGATATTATCCTTCACAATGTTTCGCGCGCGCGCGCGCGCGCGGCATTCCGACCGCGTATCCTGGTCGCGTCCTCATGTTCGCTCGCACTCGGAATGCACGCCGGTGACTTGGCCGCGGAATGATAATGATATCGAAATGTTTATACTTTGATTTCTCGACACATCTATCTTAGTATTTATTGCATCGGGAATAAATATCCTGATTGCTGATGATTGCCTCGTCCCGATATCGATACTTGATCAATATTTCGCTCGTGCACGCAACTCCGGGCTTGGAGTTCATCTTTTTGCGCCGCTACGACATATCGCCGAGATACCGAGATTATCGTTTTGCATATGTTATTTCGCGTTGACATTCTCTCGAACGACCGCGAAAATGTGAGGAACGCGTGCTAATAAGACGCTTAACATCGTTTATCTCGGCGCTATAATCTGTATTATATTAACGAGATAAATAATCGTTACGAACGCGAGCGAGCGCGCGGCGGCACGCCTCGCTGCGCATAGCGCGGAGGACGAGCGCGCAAAGGTGCAGAGCTTGGAAGGAGATGGATCGCGCGGAATCCCACGAGAGTAACGACTGCCGACGACTCTCGATATCCCCGTTAAAACGGCTCCTACGAAGTTATCGGAGCCGGTTCTGAGCGCGACGCATCCGAATCGAACGCTCGCAATCGCGCGGCGCGGCATAATCGTTACATAGGGACATAGCGCCGGTCTAACCAGTCCCGATAACATCTTTCCCAGGCTAAATATACCGTCGCGCCGGCTAAATCCGTATCGCGCCTATCGGGAATCGATCGAAACATACGGAACACGTCGAATGCGTTTCGCTCTTGCTCGAAGCCAACGTCCCGAGAGCGCTCGTCGCAACACCACCGTCACGCGCAAATGCAGTCGTGAAATCGGATCTCGTCCGGCTTTCGGACAAAGCAGCGCCGCGTCCCGATCGTCTCGACGGGATCTAATATGGCAATCCGAACGCAGACTCTCGAACATGTAATTACAAATTCGAACACTTGGGATCTCTCGATCCGGATGCCAGTGCTCTAAATAATGTATAATTAGTTCTCGGAAGCGCTCTTCGTGCGGAATAATATTTATTCAAATGTATCGAAATGCCGACGCGTCTAATGGATCTCACGGCTAAACGTGAGAATTCGAGGGTACCGTTTCACGAAAGAATATCACCGAAGACAGCGCGTGTGATCCGCGCCGCCTAAAGATCGTCATCATCCCGTCGATGGCGCTAATTATTCCGCACGATCGACTCGACAGCAGGCGCGTAATAATAAAGTCAAGACGGCCTCTCGCACCGCGCTATATCCCATGCTCCATATACTTCGTATGAGAACCCGCGGCATTCCGACGACGGGCACTCGAGAGCCATTATTACTTTGGTCCGCGCGACTGGTGGCACACCGCGAGACAAGAGAGGAACAACGAGAGGAGATTTGTGCGAGGATGTCTGAGAGAGCTACGGTCCACGGAGAGGGGGGGGGGAGGTGCATCAATATTACGCGCATTGATCCGATAAGCGAGCGGATCGGCCCGAAGCGCCGGATTAACGGTTCGCCGCGTTAACACGAGAAGTCAATTATTTCGCTCGAGCATTATCGCGCCGAGATAGATTCGTCGAAACACGCGAGTTCCAGGCCTCTCTCTCTCTCACTCTCTGCGCGTGGGAACGCCGCCGCAATTCTTCGAGGCGAATAAATTCGCGCACGCGGTTCCGCGACGATTGATTCATCCTTGACGCGCGCCTCTTTCGTTCGTCGCAGCGCGGTGACGAGAGCGCGAGAAGCTCATAAGCCGGGCCCGTTAGATATTATGAGCTCTCGCAGGGCGCAACGGGGACAGGAGAAAGGAGAGAGACGCCGTTATATGAAATCCAGGTCGTTACATCTCTGAAACCCGCTTCCACATCGGGGGCGCTCTTCAAACTGCACTCGAGGCATTTTACGGTGCCCGACACCTGTCGCGAGTGTGAAAGAGATTTCGAAATCACCATCCGACGTGCACTTGGCGTTTCTTTTTCTCTTAATTTTCCTTTTTCGTTCTCTCTCTACCTGCCCCGCGTGTTTTGCAGCTCGAAAAGGAAAGTTCGCTAATTTCGCTTCGCCGCGACATCAAGATTCCGCCGCGTAATGATGATTCAGAAGACCGGAAGGCACGGTCGCGCCATCGCGCGACGCCACCTCGTTAATTGCACGATGAGAACAATCGCGCAATTGGATCTGTAATGTCTAATTACAATCCGGGGTGTTGCGGCGCGGATCGCATTTGCGCCGGGAAGCAACACGTGAGTCGTCGTCATCGTCGTCGTCTCTGGCAGCGAGTCTCATTGTCAGTTCGTTAACCAGCGACGGGGCGTAGGAAAGAAAGACCCGCGTGCGGGAAGATCGACGGCGATAAGTGCGCACCGCCGGTGCGCGAACACTTACCGGAGGTAAACAAAGGCGAGTTCTCGCCCGGGTGACAATGAACCTGGAAGCCCTTCGGTTACATTAGCAGACTCTCTCCGCGCGACTCCAGACGCGTCGAAGACGTCTCGGACGGACGTGATCTCGTAATTATGCGGATCCCGTAGACGAACTGTCTCTCTCATCGCGCTTTTCCCTCCTCGCGCGCGTCTCTGTTTTCCTTCCATCGGACGTGCGCGCGCGCGTTATGCATCGGCGAACGGAAGTTACACAAGCACATTTCTCACTCGGGTACTCGATTTTCTCCTCGAGATAAGAACAAGGATAAGTAAACGCCCGTAAAGTGGTAAAAGAACACACGATCACGCAAAGCGATGCGCGACTGCGCGCGCGCGCGAAAAATCGTGCCTCGATATTTTTAGACTGCTCGCTCGGCAGCTATTCGAACGTTTTCTTTCAAACGAAAGAGGAAACCGGTCGAATTGCGCGAGAATTGAAAGTGACGGGTTTTTTTTTTTTTTTGCGGTCGTTATCGAGAATACCGAAGGCGATCATCGCGGATCGACGAAAATATCCG